TAATTTACAAATCCTATGATATAATAATGGGGATAAATGACAGATGGGAAGGGAGAGCATGATTGCAGTCCACACACCTATTAGGTTGGTTTTGGATCCAAACTATGTATCAGTTAAAAATGGGAAAATAAAAGGGGTAATTAAAGGGACACTATGGGCATCAAAACATCTTTAGCTTAATGAAGCAGCTTTAGTGTATAGATCATGCCTCTGAACTCTCACTGCTCAATTCTCTGCCATTTACGAGTTAAATCACTTCTCTCTGACCATGCAGCCCAAGCCACACGCCCCCTGGCATTGACTGATACAGCATGCATGAAACAAATGGTTACATTCTAAATTAGATTTTAACCTGCTTTAGACATTTTTATCTCCTGCTCTGTACACTTATTGTTAATCACATGCAGAAGGCTCCTGCAGTGCCTAGAAAGCTATTAACAGAGCAGGAGATAAGAATTTAAACGTGAAGTGCAAATAAGGAAAGATCTCTTTAAATTAATGTTTAGGAAGGCTGTGCAAGTCACATGCAGGGTGGTGTGTCAATGACTGTATAAGCAAAGTGAATTCAACTCCTAAATGGCAGAGGATTGATCTGTGAAACTGCAGGGACTTCATCTATACATCAAAACTGGTTCATTAAACTAAAGTTGTTTTGGTACCTATAGTGTCCCTTTAATTCCCGTACCCCCTCCCATAATTTGCTGGTATTGGCATTGTAATATTTATTCTAAACTTAGAAATTGAGATTTCTTTGCCTCTAAATATTTCCTTTCTCTAATCATAAAGTGCTGCAGAATTTATTGGCACAATATAAATGTTAATAGTAAGGACATATTAAACAACACCAAATTGGCCAATTGCAATACATGGAGCAGTTATGTGCACCACCACCCAGCCTACAAGTGATGTGCTTGAGTTCACACTAGTATTCACAATAAGAAAGCGCTCAAAGTAGGCCAATAAATCTTTCAATATTTATGAAGGGAGAACTTTTGATAACATTATTTAATATGTATACATAAACTATACATTTAGGATTTTCATTACTGTTTGTTACTGTGTCTTCACTATAATGGAAGTAGAAAACCTCACATTTGCCTTATATCTGCACTGTTTATTTTCCAAAAGCTGGCATTCCGATGCCATCTGTGTTATGCGAAGAGCATGTTATAATAATGTACAGTCTTGTTTACACAGCAAAGCCACTGGAAATGCTAAATTTTAAGTTTACAAAAACCTTACGAATTTTTCTACATATTGCTGATCTGATTTATTCATTGATTTCATTTATTCATATTATATTGTTTTTTTTCTAGAAGCATGAATGTAACATAAAATTCTAAGCACTTAAAGTGTTTAATAGTAATTATATTTTCTAAATTATATCTATTCAAAAACGCACAATCTATATTAGAAGACATGACCTATAATCTCTAATTTCAAGCAAAAATCTTGTCTGACTTTATTTAGATGTTTCAAATTTTAAATGTTCGGTCAATGAATACAAATAACAATATAAAGTAATGTCAAAATGTATCAAGATAATGTCATTTAGAATGTAAAATAACGTAATATAACACTATCCACTAAATAGGAGTGCACAGACAATTGCAATGTTTGACAAAGATCTAGAAGAGTTAAAACATCACCTGTTATTTTGGCACCCACTATAAAGAATTACTTTAAGGATTATACTAGATTTATTGCTATTTTTAGTGAATTTAAATAAGAGAATGTGCAGATGACCTTTAAAACAACTCTGTTACTTTCAGGGTATTTGCATAAAGACAATTCAGAATCTTATTTTGCACCTGTAGGTGATAAACTTGTTTAGTGCGGGGGGCGTGGCCGACTGCCGGACAAGATGGACGCATAATCCTCAGCTCCGGCAAAAGGGCTGATAATCCGTTGCAATCCTACCACACAGAACGCACTACAAACCGTACCACAGAAGATGTCGCAACATAAAAGCAAGAAGAGCTCAGCAAAAACTGAAAAATTTAATTTCTTTCAACAGAAACCAAATTTAACTCCTTCGGGCCTACTACCGTCTACCCAAGATGGCGACGAGGGTACCGACGATGAAAGTACCCCACAAAGCATGTCTGCACCAGGAGATGCCCTGACAAAGAGCCACCTAACTCAAGCACTGGAAACCTTGTCCCGAAAGCTGATCGGGTCCTGGCAGCACTCCATGGACTCACTCCGTAAAGATGTCCAAGAAATAGGCAAGAGGACGTCGCACATAGAATCACAAATGGACGACATGGCGGCAGCCCACAATAACCTCGCTGCACACGTGGAGAGGCTGGAAGACAAGTTACTACTCACCGAAACGAAACTGGCGGACATGGAGGACAGGTCTCGGCGAAACAACCTGCGGCTGCGGGGGGTACCTGAAACAGTGCTCCCGGCGGAACTACAAGCCTATGTGCGAGGCCTGCTAAGTGCTTACGCGCCCGAGATACAGTCTGACATGCTGCTGCTCGACAGAGTTCATCGGGTGCTGCGCCCGCGCCACCTGTCGGATTCCTCACCCAGAGATGTTCTGTTACGTGCCCATTATTATCACATTAAAGAGCATGTCCTCCGAGCCAGCAGAAGTAAATCCAAGCCTCCAGATGATTACGCCACGGTACAAATCTTCCCAGACGTCTCAGCGATCACCCTGCGAAGACGGAAAGATTTCGCTCCCATTACTACAGCACTCCGCACCAACGGAGTGAGATACAGGTGGGGATATCCCACGAAGCTTTTGGTGACCAGAAATGGCTCTCTCCAGGCCATCCTGACCCCTGAAGATGGCGCCAATCAGCTGAAGTCGTGGGGTATCAACCCACAACTGGAACCCGAGAAAGCCCCATCAGCGAGCAGACTACGCATAGAGTGGCAGAAAGTGCCGGACAAATATTAACCCACGCTGTCAGCTGCATGAGAGACACGCAAGTATTGTGCACTACACACTTTTTCCCACAGGCATACTGACATTGGAAGGGCCCAGCGGAACTCTCATTGTGCACATTTCGGCATCTCAGGAAAGCCTCAGCTTCTTATCCACGGGGGGACACATCACTGTCTGAACTGATCTTGAGCATATGCAGGGAAATGGGCCTTCCCTGAAGGAGCCTATAGGCTACTGTGAACTCTCTTGTTGCCACATGGACAGTAATGGCAGGGAGATCGGGGAGGTGCAAGGTTGTAGGGGACCCAGTAAGACATGTGTTCACTGATTTTGATGGGATAGTGGCCGAGTCCGGATGGGTGGGCGGCGTGGGCCCGGGCGCTTTCCCCCGGTCGTTCCCCTCCGAGGGGGAGGGGGACGGGGGGGACGCGCGGGGTACCTCGCGGCCCATACCACTGGTCACTTTATATGTCTCATTATGCGTCCTATGCCCTCTCTATAAATGTGCAGACCCCTTTGCCAGCCTCGACATCACTGAGGGGTTGTGGGGGGACACTGTTGAAAGACCCTCGTGACTGCACAAAATCACTAGTCAGCCCTGGGGACAAGGAGACATGTAGACCCCTAGGATAGGGTTTGGGTATGGAAATGGGGCGGAGAGGCCTAAGATATGGCACAGATGCAGATGCCCTCTCAAATGCCGATAGGAGCCCTAACGGCTCGTCCTACCCCACATACACTTACGAAGGGGTAGTATAGCGAGGCACGGTACAGCTACCACTCATGCAGCAACCACACCCAAGCTTTCCTTCAAACGCCAACATATTCAAAAAAAAAAAAAACCCAGTTCTGTCCAAACCCAAAGGCTACCAAGCCCATACGCCACACCACAGGAGACAAATGTTTCCGTACCCCACGGTGCGCGCCCACCGCACCATTTCCCTGCTACAGGGAACATGTATATATTCCTTTCCCTCCCACCTCTTCTCTATCACACCCAAGTTGTCCCTTCCCGGTTCAAGGTATATTAATCTCTCCGAAAATAGATCTACAAGAGTACTCCAAATAAACAAACAAATATTACAACCTGAGAATACACACTATTAACGCGTGCGGTTTGAACACCCCGCACAAACGGCGTGTCTTGTTAGACATGGCCAAAAAAGACAAGATAGACATCCTCTGTGTGCAAGAAACCCACTTCACACATTCCAAAGTTCCTAAATTTGCACAACAAGACTATCCCACGCAATACCACTCCACACACTCCTCCAAGTCCAGAGGCGCATCCATACTTGTCTACAAATCACTTTCGTTCGAACTACTCCAAGTTAAAAAAGATTCCCAAGGCAGATACGTCATCATTCACTGCACGATAAACGACATTAATTACACAATTGCCTCAGTGTATAGCCCGAACACTAACCAAAGAAATTTCTTACACAAAGTCCTTTCCAAAATACCTAGCCCACAATTGCAAAATTTGATTCTGTGTGGAGACCTGAACCATATATTCGATCAAACATTAGACACGACAGTCGCTGGTGACACCAAGAGGCAGGCCGCCCTCAAACCCCAATGCAAAGCTATGACAAAGTTGCTGCTAGAATACAATATCTATGACTCCTGGCGCACAATACATCCAAACGTTCGTGAATACACGCACCACTCAAGAGCCCATAAAACCAGCTCACGCATTGATCACATCCTCATTGCTGCGCATCTCCTCACATCCATGATAGATTGCACGATAGGAGACCTGACATGGTCAGACCATGCGCCCGTACACCTAACCCTACAAGACAAATTTCTCTTCAGGGGAACCTCCCCATGGAAACTGCATGACAATCTTCTGCTCGATGACTCCTTCAAAAATACAATAGAAAAGGAAATAAAACTATACTTCGACACAAACTACACGCCGCAAACACAACCCCAAAACGTATGGCTCGCCCACAAGGCGGTAATACGGGGACTTCTTATCAGCCGGGCGGCATACCTGAAAAGGAAGGCATGTGAGGAATACACCACCCTTCTCAAAAAACTCATAGACCAAACAAGTGCCCATCTCCTTTCCCCGTCTACTGCAGGCCAGGATGACATTTACCGCACTACTAAAGCAATAAACGACATATTATTCCAACGGACATCAGATACACTGACCAAACTCAAACTGACACAATACTCTCAGGGCAACAAAGCCGGGAGAGCACTGGCTTCCCTATTAAGGCAACACCAAACCAGATCGAAAATACCGCATGTATTTAACACTGCAGGCATCAAAATTACAAACCCACAGCAGATAAATGACACCATGGCGGAGTTTTACGACAAACTCTATAATCTAGCACAGGATACTAAGACACATCAACCCACAACTCAAGAAATACAGAACTTCTTAACACAGGCCTATCTCCCCTCCCTTAGCCCAACCCAACAGGCAATGATCCAACAACCGATCACCGCCACTGAGATAGAAAAAACTATAGACGCCCTACCACAGGGAAAGGCACCAGGCCCAGACGGCTTCACGAACATTTATTACAAATGTTTCAAATCCACCCTAGTCCCGCAAATAGAGAAAACGTTTAACGCCATTATAACGACAAGCTATATGCCGTCAGAAATGCTGATAGCCCACATTGCAACGCTGCCCAAGCCAGGGAAGCCACCTACCAAACCCCAAAACTTGAGACCGATTTCTTTACTAAATACTGACACAAAGTTGCTAGCGAAAATTTATGCGAATAGGCTTGCTTCCATAATCCCTTCGGTAATACACACCAATCAGGTAGGGTTTGTCAGGGGGAGACAGGGCTCGGATGGAACCAGGAAACTACTAGATCTGATGTCAAGCGCGCGGGCCTCGGGGAGACCCAGTGTGTTCCTTTCGCTGGATGCTGAGAAAGCATTTGACAGGGTGCACTGGGGATTCCTTGAGGCTACGCTAACAAAATTCGGTTTCCCTCCCAATTTCATGTCCCTACTGACGGCGCTATACTCCACACCATCGGCTCATGTAGCCAATAGCGGATTTATATCAAAAAAATTTAGTATTACAAACGGATCACGCCAGGGGTGCCCACTATCCCCGTTGCTGTACATCCTGATCCTGGAACCATTAGCGCAACATATAAGAATGAGTCACAATGTCAAAGGTATACAAATAGGCCCCGTGGAACACAAACTCACAATGTTCGCAGATGATATCATGCTTTCCATAGAATCACCACACACATCACTCCCACACCTACACGACATCCTGACTGATTACAGTGCATGTTCATACTACAAACTTAATATTTCCAAAACGCAAGCAATAGGGATGCACATGTCATCCCGCACTCTGCAAGTTTTAAAAAAGGCCCACGCATACGACTGGCGAACGGACAACCTCACCTTTTTAGGAGTTGCATTTACAGCCACATCGCAGGCCATGTTTCAGGCAAATTACACCAAACTAGTGAACAAACTGAAAAGTCAAATTATGGGTTGGGCAGGCAAATACGTCTCCTGGCTGGGACGAATCGCAGCGACAAAAATGATACTTTTACCCAAACTTCAGTACTTATTCCGTACATTACACATTCAACTCCCACACACTTTCCTCTGGGAAACACAGACCCTCCTCAACAAGTTCATATGGAACAAGAAAAAAGCGAGAGTAGCAGCACCCGTGTTACGCAAACCCTTCAAGCAGGGGGGTCTGGGGATCCCACACCTACAGGCGTATTACTCGGCATCAATTCTTAGCCCATTAATCACAGCATTCCATCAAGATCCCCAGCTAGAATGGCTCGCCATTGAGTCCACTTACACAGAAGGACAAGATATCACCACACTCGCATGGTTACCGCGCGCCCATAGACCCAAATACAGAAATATGCTACCAACAACTAGGTTATCCCTGTCCTTATGGTACAAACACCAGACCAAATCCTGGCCGTCGGAGTACCCGTCGCCGGCTATGAAACTGCAGACCCTCACGTCACTCATACCCTACTTTAACGCAAAAACATGGACCTCCCATGGCGTGATACACCTCCACCAGCTACTCGATAAAGGCAACCTGCTCTCGTTTGAGCGCCTACAAACTGAATATCAAGTACCGAAGACACTACACTTCTCTCACATGCAGATAAAATCATGGTTTTACAAATATCGCCCCTCAAAGGCCCAATCCGAACAATCCACACAATTGTCCATGGCGGAACAAATGTGTCTCCAAACCAAACCTCCAAATAAACCTATGTCTCAATTATACCATGAAATCACCCGCAAAGAAAATCTCATAAAACCCTCGTTTATCGCAGCCTGGGAACGAGACCTAAATATGAAACTAACCGATACACAGTGGCTCCACATATTCTCAGCTAATAAAAACTTAACGATGTGCGCCTCACACGTAGAAATATCCAGGAAGATACTATATCGCTGGCACATTGTCCCAACCAAGCTAAAACACATAAACACCCAATCCACAGGTAAATGTTGGAGATGCATGGACCAACCAGGTACCACATACCACATCTGGTGGTCATGCCCTGGAATTGTACCCTTTTGGGCACAAATCTCCAAACTGATAAAAGCCACTACAAAGATAGACATGCCGCCTCAGCCTGAATTATACCTTTTACAATTATTCCCTCCAAATACAGCAATATCTGTTAAATATCTCACGTACCATATTCTGATAGCGGCTCTACAACTAATAGGCAGGAATTGGTTGTCGAGACACACTCCGCAGTTGTCAACTTGCACCCAAATTATAGAATCAGCCAAACGGTACGAGGTCATGGCTAGAAAAACGAAACCCGGGAAAAAATTTTGGGTAATGGCTTGGGAAATGTGGGATACACGCAAAGTCGAGCCACCCTCACACAGTAAGGAACATGAATGCAAATGCGAACCAAGTCCTAGAACATCACACACATAGAGGTTGACTAACATAGACAAATGCGCAACTGAATACCTTGACAACACCCCCCCTCCGTCCCTCCTCCACACCACCCCCCGTTCTTCTTCTCTTTTTTCTCTACCCCCCATTCAGTTATGTTATACTATTATGTTATCATTATACTTGTTGTGTTATGATATATATATCCAGAACAAAAAAGGTGCACTGGTTTCAACGAACCGACATCCTAATGGTGATAGGGCCATGTAAGGCCACGTACTGTATCTGTTTATAATGGAAACTGTTTGGACAAATTCTGTACGCAATTACTATGACAAACAACTGCATATGTGACATACTATATGATACAGCCATAACAAATGTTTAGAAATGTCTGATGTAACATGCACCGCTTCAAAATTACAAAAAAAAAAAAAAAAAAAAAATTGTTTAGTGCAGTGGCCCAGGGAAGGAGAGAAAGGGAGGTAAATTTCTCCTTTCTTAAATTCAGGCATTTCATGTGGCACTCTCTCACACCCACAGACAGAGGTTTATGGACGTTTCCACAAGACCACAGAATTGGTGCGAGAAAGAGGCCTCTTCCATCAGTGTCACTAGTATCGGCTGCTGGGAATTGACAAAAGTTGAAGACAGAAGCTTTACTTTTTGTCAATGTTTGTCATCATTGGCTTTGCCCATTAGACAAAGTAGTACATGCTTTGCCTTCTGATTTTTGTAAAATCCAACACATTCAATAGAAGTATTTCAAATGAGATCCACAACGGGGTGTGTGGAAAAAAGGTGTATAAAAACACATGTTTGTAGAAGCAACCCAGTGAACAGAAAATGCACACGAAGGTGACATACCACTAAAACAAAATACCGACATGTAGGTATTAACTTAATTCCATAAAATCAAATGTCCTTATTTAAAAGGAGTAAATATTTTTTTTTCTTTTAAATGTTTTGTTCATTGTTACAAACCATAAAAAAATACAGTATTATTAGTAGTAGTATTTATACAATTACAAAATGATGACAGGAACTATAGTGAAGATACAAATAGTGGTGAACATAAAACCAATTAATTCATACAAATGTAAAATTATCTAGAGTATGGTTCCAGCGAGCTTCAGATCTAAGTAATTTTCTTGTTCTAGATTGAAAGTCAGAGTCATGGGGGATCCCATGACATTGAGACATGTAGTGTCACACTGATGTATTTGTTTAGAATGCAGTGATTAGTGATATCGCAAACCGTTCGCGAACTTCCCGCGAACGGCTCGCCATGAGCTCCGGTCAGCTGACACATCCCGGCCAATCTCCAGCAGACCCTCCCTCCCAGACCTTCCCACCTCCTGGACAGCATCCATGTTGAAGGCAGCTTCAACATGGATGCTGTCCAGGAGGTGGGAGGGTCTGCTGGAGATTGGCCGGGATGTGTCAGCTGACCAGAGCTCGCCGCAAACGGTTCGTGGCGAACCGCGGCAAGCCGTTCACAGGAAGTTCGCAAACGGTTCGCGACATCACTAGCAGTGATACAAAAATCATAAAATCTGTGTTACTGATGGAAACCCAGTGTTCCATACATACATACTTCAGTCCGCACAGACATGTCAACAATAAAACTACAAAAGTGATGTTACAGGTTAACCATCGATGTACCACAGTATGCCACTGTGAGAAAATATGTGACAGAAAACGTACTAATATTAGCAATATGTTTGCTAATAGTTGATCATCTAGGAGGGTTTCTTCTAGGAATTTGAGGTTGTATCATTCTATATTCCACAAATTGTATATTTATTGATTTTAATATGAAGATACAGAGTTTCTTTCAAATATTAGCGCATTAGTGCAGGAATAATTTACGTTAACGCAGAATTTGCCTGCAATCTTTCAAAACCATATTTACAGCAGGTCATGGAAACATTGAAAGATGATTTTGATGGGTGTTAAAAGCCAACTGTCCCATCTTTGGGCCAGTCTTCTCATCTCCTATTTGAAAGCATTGGTTATTAAATTCTCCTGCATAGGAGTGTCTTCAACGTCTGTTGTAAGTCTATTCTATCTATTATCATCAGGGCTTCGAAATCTCAAGTCAAGCCTAAACGTTATGGCCACTGTAAGCCTGGAAGGTCCATGGCATAATCACCAAAGTGAATTTCTACTTGCTAGGACTGAATTTTCACTCAATAATGGCTAGTGGGTGATTGGAAATTCTGAGCTCTATTATTTTTATTATTACACTTGTGTTAAAATGTCAGAGTGTTAAAAATGGGTATACCATCAAATTAAGCAAATATTACGTATTAGAAATAAAACATCAGAAGGTCCTTGTTTAGGGAATTTTACAAACTACCTATAAAAAAATACAATTCCGATGTTAGCCAAAATTTTCCTTGCATCAAAACACTTCAAACTTCACCCTCTCT